ACGATTTTTTATTTTTTTTTTCTTCCCGTCCAAATCTAAATCTGTTAATTAGACGGGATGAAGTCCAAAAGTTACGGCGATGCCTTCTGTGCGCGCGCGGTTGTCGTTTGGTGCGCGCGCTCGGTAGTTCAACGAGGGCACCTTGGATACGTCCTCACCAAGGTTACACAATTTTGCTTTTTTTTTTTTTTTTTTTGAACATTTCTCCTTCATACACCGACTTATGCTGGATTCTTTTGCTGCTTTGCTCGCGCGTGACACCAGATCCAACACTGCCATCTAGCGGTCGCGCTTCGGTACAGGTCCTCGTGCGCACCTGGTGGATTCGAGTGCCCAAAAAAAAAAAAAAAAAAAAAAAAAAAAAAAGAAGAAGTGCGCGTTCTTAACTAAATTATTCAAGTTTATTTGTGCAGTTTTAGAAAGACTGGGCGCTTAATCACACGTTTAATTTTCTCCTCCGTAATAATAGTGTTGTTTTTACGTACGCGGGGGGAACCTTGGCCGTACCGTATCTTTGTAATTAGAACTTGGATCGCGTCGACGTGTTTCAGATGGCTCTTAATACCGGGATTTGTCGCATTTTCGCGTCTCTCTCCTCCTTCCTTTATCTCTCTCTCTCTCTTTTTTCGTCTTTTTTTTCCGCGCGCCAGATTTGCACCCGAGCAGCAGTGGGCGTCGCGTGCTTATCCAGTCTTCAAAAATACAACGCGATCATCGTCACCCTCCCACCGGCGCGCGCGAGTGGCCAGATGGCGGAGTTGGTTGGGTGCTTGGGTGCTGAATTTCCCCATTGTCTTTTTGCACTCTAAAATTAGAAGGGCGCGTGGTAATTATCGCGTGTGCGGATTTTTTGCGCGCGTGTCGTTTTCACCGCCCACGCGCGCCTTTTACGATCTTAAATGTGAGAAGAGGCAGTTCGAGGTGCAGAATTTGGGAATATTTTTAGATGTTTGAATGACAGGTGCAAAACAGCGAGACGAGAGAGTTGGGTGAACTGTTTGACGTGATCATGGTGGGTTTTACTCAAGTACAAGTATGCGAGTACGTGTTTAAAAAAGTAAAAGTATTTCGTCTGTCGTTTGAGGTCTAATATTTGTTTCTTAGTTGTTGTTTTTTTTTGTGATGAATTATGAACATGTTAAAAAATAAACCCCCCCACCTTTTTCCGCAGGTCTCAGATTATAATAAAAAATACTTTTACTTTGCAGTCCTGTTAAAAAAAAAATGTAGTGGAGTAAAAAGTACAGATACCTGCTCTCAAAGGTAGTGAAGTAAAAGTAAAAAGTACAGTGTGAAATGTACTGTACTTTACTACTTTTACTTTGTTACGTTCCATGACTGTCTCTAGCCTACTACTACTACTACTACTACTACTACTACTACTACTACTACTACTAGGCCTACTTCTTGTAATAGGAAGGTGCAAAACAACCATGTAAACTAGAAAGTTGGACAAACTATCAGTGAAAGTTAAAAATGTAAGTACTTTTCTACTACTACTACTTCAGCAGTCCAGCACTAACTACTACTGTTATTACTACTACTACTGTTGCTGCTACTGCTGCTGCTACTACTACGACTACTACTATTACTACTGCTGCTATTACTACTACTGCTACTACTGCTACTATTACTGCTACTATTACTACTACTGCTGCTACTACTGCTACTACTACTACTACTACTACTACTGCTACTGCTACTACTACTACTATTACGACTACTGCTACTACTACTACTACTGCTACTGATGCTACTGCTACTACTACTGCTACTGCTACTGCTACTACTACTACTACTACTACTGTTACTACTACTATTATGACTACTACTACTACTACTACTACTGTTACTACTACTATTATGACTACTACTACTACTACTACTACTACTACTACTGTTACTACTACTATTATGACTACTACTACTACTATTACGACTACTGCTACTACTATTACGACTACTACTACTGCTACTACTACTGCTACTGTTACTACTACTATCACGACTACTACTACTACTACTATTTGGTATTTTGGTTTAAAGACTTGAAATGACTTGAAGTTTAAAGCAGACGACTTGGACTTGACTTGGATTTACGGACCAGTGACTCGAGACTCGACTTGGACTTGCCTGTATTTGACTTGGGACTTGACTCGGACTTGAGGTCAAAGACTTGAGACTTACTTGAGACTCGCAAAACAACGACTTGGTCCCACCTCTGGTTTAGAGGTTTTGGACGGACGTAATTTTACTTTAAAAAAAATAGTTTCTTTACTTTTTCTAGCCTCAGTTTTGTGAATTTTTTGTTTTTGCGTCACAATAATTATTTTTTCAACACACAAACTCAGAAACGTCTTATTAAAGGTCCAATATTACGCAAAATTTACTCTTGTGAGATATTTTTGTGATGAGAAAACAACATTATATTTAAAAAAATAGCGTAATATGGCCCTTTATCTAACCTGAGTACAACACTACTTCATATAACTACTATTTCTAGAAGTACTAAATCTGAAGTGAGAGGAGGGGGAATAATTTCTAAGTTTGTCTGTATTGTACCATCTGCTTCTCTTGGCGTTTGTTGATGTATTTTACGTGTTTTTTTAAGAAGTTGTCGTCTATTTTTGTCATTTGTAAGCGCTTGAAAACAGTGTTTGCTTTGTACAGGATTTAGTGTCACTGGCAAAAAGGAAGAGGCTTTTTTAATTTTTATGAATCCTGGTTGGTAATTAAATAAGAAAGAGTTTTCTTCATGTGGCATTTTAATTATTTATTTTTATTTAACGTTGATCATTAGTCCTGATTTAGTCCTGTTTCAGTCCTGTTTCAGTCCTTGTTCAGTCCTGGTTTAGTTCTAGTTTAATGCTGGTTTCAGTTTCAGTCCTGGTTTAGTCCTGATTTAGTCCTGTTTCAGTTCTGTTTCAATCCTCTTTCAGTCCTTGTTCAGTCCTGGTTTAGTTCTGGTTCAGTCTGGTTTAGTCCTGGTTTAGTCCTGGTTTAGTTCTAGTTTAATGCTGGTTTAGTTCTGTTTCAGTCCTGGTTTAGTCCTGATTTAGTCCTGTTTAGTTCTGTTTCAGTTCTGTTTCAGTCCTTTTCAGTCCTGGTTTAGTTCTGGTTCAGTCCTGGTTTAGTCCTGGTTTAGTTCTAGTTTAATGCTGGTTTAGTTCTGTTTCAGTCCTAGTTTAGGCCTGATTTGGGCTTGGTTTAGTTCTGTTTGTCCTGGTTTGGACCTGGTTTAGGTTTAGTCCTGGTTTAGTCTTGGTTTGACACTGGTTTAGTCCAGATTTGGTCCTGAGTTAGCTCTGGATTAGTCCTGGTTCTGACCTGTCCAGGTTTAGTCTTGGATTTGTCCTGAGTAAATCCTGGTTGAGTCCTAGTTTAATCTTAATTGCACCCTGGTTTAGTCTTAGTTTAGTCCTGGTTTAGTTCTGGTACAGTCTTGGTTTAGTCCTGTTTCAGTCCTGGTTTAATCTTTGATTTCTCTCTTCTCTCAGTTTGCTCCAGTGACCTGAGTCTGCCCTGTGCTGCTGCTTCATGATCCTACAGCTCCACCTCCTGGAGGAAACCTGCACTACACCTGAGATCAGTGAGGTAATTATGAAATTCCATGTTGCAGGTGAATTGCAGATTAATTTATACTAAATCAACTCAAAACATTGTAAAACTGCAAAAAATTTAAAATGTACTGAAAGGGTGAAAATTTCGAGAAAAACAGGTAGCAGATCCTCCACCTGAAATGTTACATATTGCATCTTTAATAATGTTTTTTGAGCATGTGAATTATCCACCTGCTACTTGTCGTCCATTGCTTATTCAAATATTTGAGCAATTTTTGTCCAATTTCTCTAAACTATGAAAATATTAAAAAAATATTATGATTCTAGTGAAGGTGTGTGGAGTTTAAAAACACAGTGGAGCACTTCCTGTATTATTGTTTTCAGTTTGAGAGAAGAGCTCAGTCTAAATGTGCAGAGTTTGTGTGTTAATTAAACATGTGAATGAAACAAAACACAACTCCAGGTGTTTGTGATGAGAAAACAATAGTGAAATATGGGCTCTTTAAATATATATAATAGTAAAATAAAACATGGGTTTTCAAATTGGGTGAATGTGAACCTCTCCTTAGAGTAGTTCTGTTTCAGTCCTGGTTCAGTCCTATTTTAGTTCTGTTTCAGTCCTGTTTCAGTCCTGTTTTAGTTCTGTTTCAGTCCTGTTTCAGTTCTGTTTCAGTCCTGTTTCAGTTCTGTTTCAGTCCTGTTTCAGTCCTGTTTTAGTCCTGTTTCAGTTCTGTTTCAGTTCTGTTTCAGTCCTGTTTCAGTCCTGGTCTGGTCTTGTTATAGTTGTTTCAGTCTTGGTTTAGTTCTAGTTTGGGCTTAGTTCAGTTCTGTTTCAATCCTGTTTTAGTCCTGGTTTAGTCCTGATTTAGTTGTTTTTTGTCCAGTTTTGGTCCTTTTTCAGTCCTGGTTTAGTTCCTGTTTTAGTCCTGTTTCAGTCCCGATTTAGTTCTGTTTTAGTCCAGTTTCGGGCCTCTTTCAGTCCTGGTTTAGTCCTGTTTTTGTCCGTAATTTAGTTCAGTTTTAGTCCAGTTTCAGTCCTGTTTCAGTTCTGGCTTAGTCCTGTTTCAGTCCTGGTTTAGTTCCTGGTTTGGACTTGGTTTAGTTCTTTTTCAGTCCTGTTTCAGTCCCGATTTAGTTCTGTTTCAGTCCTGGTTTAGCCCTGCTTTAGCCCTGTTTTTAGTCCTGTTTCCAACCTGGTTTAGTCCTCTTTCAGTCCTGTTTCAGTTCTGGTTTAGTCCTGTTTCTGACCTGGTTTGGTCCTGGGTTTAGTCCTGATTTAGTTCTGTTTTAGTCCAGTTTCGGTCCTCTTTCAGTCCTGTTTCAGTTGTGGTTTAGTCCAGTTTCAGTCTTCTTTCAGTCCTGGTTTAGTTTTAGTCCTGTTTCAGTCCTGTTTTGGTCCTGATTTATCCGCTGAAATAAAATAACCCACACAAAGTCGCGTTGTGATTTTGAAGAATTACTTTGACACCTTTATTTGGGCTCCCAATACACAAATCATCAACACAGTCTGCTGCATGATACACTGAACTAGTCTTATTTACATCTTATATTATTTTTGAGACTTTTTTCTGTAACATTTATTATTATATTGAGTAGCAATCGACAAAATACGATTCTTACAAGGCCTTTTATAGTTGCGATTCCAGCCAAGAATTTTTAAAAGCACTTTTTTTTGTTGTTGTAGTATCTATATATCGTCTGCAGCCTTGGTACTCGCAATACTCGCTCGTCTCGTATTGCCTGTGGATTTAAACGAAGCAGACCGTTTCTGTTTCCATGGCAGGCGTTTTAAAGGTTCGCCGTGGAGCTTTTCAGGTGGAGAATCCGTCGAACGTTTTTTTTTTTTTGCTTTGTCTGGAAAGTTTCACAGTGTGGCATTAAATCTTTCTATCCATCACAAAGGAGACAAGTTAATGGTCAGATCTACGGAAAAGCGAGCCTAAACATGGTAAGAATGTGGGGTTTTTTTACGCTATTTTTGAGCTATAAAACCGCAGCAATTGAATAAATAATGTAGAGAAGTTTAATGCCCTACTTTGGGACATTCCAGGTAAAGAAGTAGAAGAAATAACATCTCCATGAAGACCCTCCGCCTTAGAAGTTAAACGGTGTAGATTATGTAACGTTTCTGGTAGAGGGTCCAGTCCGTCACCTGCGTGTTTCCATGGAGACGTTATTTGTCTGCCTGGAATGTTCCGCAGTGTGACTTTAAACAGCTCTAATTCACGTTTATTCAATTACAGGTGGTTTTATAGCTCAAAAATACCTAGAAAAACGGTTATTCTGACTGTGAGCGGCGTCGCCTCTCCGCAGATCTGACCCGTAACTTGGTCTGGTTTGGTCTGTATGAAGATCCCAACCCCCCCAGGCCAAGTTACAGGTCAGATCTGTGGAGAAAGAAGGTTTTTCAAGGTATTTCTGATCAATAAATGACACACATAACTGAATAAACGCAAAATTATGCCATGTTTAGGCTCACTTTTGCCGTAGATCTGACCCGTAACTTGGTCCGGTTTGGTCTCCGTGAAGATATTTGTAAAGAAAAACTCCCGCACACTGTTTCACTCTTGATTTTTCTTTTGTTGGTACGACGTTTCGGTTCCTCAGGGACCAAAACGTCGTACGAATGAAAGAAAAATCAAGAGTGCGACAGTGTGCGGGAGTTTTTCTTTACAAACATTTTAAGTGCTATTCTCCGTGAAGATACAAAAGGTTTAATGCTACACTGTGAAACATTCCAGACGACGCAATAACATCTCCATGAAGAAAAACAAACAAAAAAAAAGCATTTGACGCATTTCTCCACCCAGAAAAGCTCCTACGAAGCGCCTTTAAAGTACAACTGCGCGCAATGATGACGGGTAAAACCAACCCAAAGAAGGAGGATTCTTCTTCATAATTAAAAAAGTTCAAGACCTGAGATTTTAGTGGAACAACTTGTACAAAAAACATACAGACACTGCCTTGTAAACTCTGTGCTGTGATACTCTTAGCTACGACATCCCTTTCAAAACATGCACGTTAAAATCGAAAAATCGTCGTCGAAACAGCTTCAAGTCGCCAATTTTTACGTTTTCCTCAAGTCGTATTTTTATTTTTTTTTAAAGTTTTGTGTTGTTGCAAGCTAGTAGTAATACACAGCTCTATGCATAAACGTACTGACAGCTTTTTACGAGAATCACCTTTTTAAACTTGACGCGAAACTCAAGATAACTTAAGACAAATAAAATCTTTAATTCTATAAATCAATAATAATACCTTAAAATCTTAAAGGTGCACCGCGTGGCTTTGCCGGTGGAGGGTCCGTGAAACTGTTTTCTCCGTGGAGATGTTGTGGCGTGGTCTGGAATGTTCCGCAGTGTGGCATTAAACAGCTCAAAGTTTACGTTTATTCAATTACAGGTGGCATTAGAGCGAAAAAACCCCAAAAAACGCCGCAGATCTGAGCTGTAACTTGGTCTCCGTGAAGATTGGAATGTTTCACAGTGCGGCTTTAAACCTTTCTATCTTCACGGAGACCAAGTTACACGTCAGATCTGCGGCGAGGCGACCCCACTCAGTCAGAATTCCTGTTTTTCTACGTACTTTTGAGCTTTAAAACCAGCTGTAATTGAATAAACGTAAAGTCGAGCTGGTTAATGTCACACTCTGGGACATTCCAGGCGAAGCAGTAAGATCTCCATGGAGACGAGCGTTCGACGGACCCTCCGCCAGTAAAGTTACGCAGTGCAGCTTCAACACTGCGCTTCTGTGTGAGTTATAAGTTCATTCCTTGGGCACTTAGTAGAGAGTCCAGCATATCGAAAGTGTTTTTGTAATCCGTGTGTTGGCCATTAGGGGGCACCAGTCCGTTGGTTCCGTCATGTCCGTGATTCGCGTCGCCGAAATGCGAATTCATCGACGCTTTCGAACTCCTGCTGCTTTTCGACGCGTGGTGGTGGTTGTTGTGGTTCCCGGCGTCGGCGTGGGCCCTCTTCCTCGACGACGAAACCGCACCAACTTCGCCCCCCTGCGGTCTTATTAACGTGTCCATGGCGCCTCTCCCGTTCACGGCGTACTGTTGGTGCGAGTGTTTCGAATGCCGATGGTGATCCTTGTGTTTCTCCTTCGAATCCGACGAGACTTTAATTCGCATTTTGAGCTCTTCGTTCGACGCTGAGCCATTTTCGGCGAAGTTATGGGCGATTTTGGGCTTTTTGGAGCTCGATTTCTCCCGCCTGCTCTCTCCTGATTGGCCACTGGGGTGCGCCTGCGAGCGTTTCTTGTGGTGGTGATGGTGCGACGTTGCTATAGGCGATAAGGCGGGGTACATTTCGGTTTCAGTCTTTAATCCGTTTAGCTCCGGCGCGTGCTTTTCTCTGTATTTCTCCAGCGTCAACACCTTCTGCGGTCTGGAGAAAGTCGTTCCGTTCGGTGCTAATTGTTGGTGCTTCGATGATTTTTCAGATTTGAGCAACGAGAAGTCCGAGTGGAGCTGCTGCGGGAACTGATCGTACCCGCAAGCCTTGGCCGCCTCCCCGCTCATGGGCTGGTACGAGGCGAAGGGGCCGGTTAAAGAGTTCAGGGAGGGAAGATCTGCGTCCGAGGTGGAAGGGAAGAAAGAGCTGGAGAGGCTGTCTAAGGAAGAGGCACTGTCCACGGACTGTCCATCGGTCTTTGGCTTCTTGGAGTTTTGAAACGCCTGAAAAACACAAACGAGAAGTACATGAGAAAAGGTTTAGAAGGTAAATCATGTTTATAATGTTGTTTCCTCATCACAAACAGACCTGGAGTTTTGTTTTATTCATGTTTACCACACAAACCCTGCAGATTTAGGCCGAGTTCTTCTCTCAAACTGAACACTCTTCCACCTTATGTCATGTGGTAATAATACAGGAAGTGCTTTAAACTCCATACACCTTCACTAGAATCATTACCTGATCCCCCGAGGGTTGACCAGGGTTTGTATTCACCCTGTGTGTCTGTGTGTGTCCACCCGCGATAATTCCCCCATTTATGGACCGATTGTCCCCAAATTTGTTACGTGGGTCAAGCCCCCGTGCCCGATGATGCAAAAAAAGTTTGCCGATGATCTGAGGTCATTTGAGGTCACATGGGTCAATTGAACGGTCATGGTGTTATAAAGGATTGGCAATTTTGGCAATTTCTGAACCATCTGCGGGTTAAAATATTCACCCAATCATCACACAAGTTGGCACACTGGATGTTACAAGTTGAAACCGGTCAAGGTAACCAAGGTCAAATATGTGTTTTTTTGTCATAACTCCGCGAAGGATCGAGCTAGAGCAATAGGAGTGTCTCAAAATCTCTGAAAAAGTAAACGGACATTCTCATGCGTGACCAGTATCACACAAATGTTCATGGGCCTGTACAGATACATGATCGTTATATCCACAATGCAATGTGTGTAATATGTGCTGGGGTCGTCATCAGCTGCTTCTGGGTTGCTCTCTCCGATTGTGCTTGTTTGGATTGTTTTAGCCCTGGAATTGCCCAATCTCTACTGAACTAAACGGTAAAAGGAGCCATTAACTTGAAAACTACCACTCCATGGCTTTGGAGATGTAGACAGACTACGTTCCTATGACGACGGTCTGAACAGACGATGCAAAAATGGCGTCGCATCTTCACTTTTTATTCCGCGTTTAGGATAAGGGTTTTCGGGAAGAAATCTGCGCGCATACGGTGACGAAAAAGTGCGTGGAAATCGATTGGGCATGCATGCGTTATCCGTTTTTTCCATTATTCATTTAAACACAAAATCGAAAACTGAAAAAAAAAAAAAAACTATTCGTGATCCGTTTCTTTGTGTTCGTATTTTTGGTTTTATTTTGAAAAAGTATAACGAATGTATATACACAAACTGATCTGCACTTTTGAGGCAACTGGAAGTCAGGTAGGCAAGAGGTGTAGTGAAAAGAGCCTGTAACATCTCCATGGAGACAAGAACGTGGCAGACCCCTCACCAGAAAAATGACAGTGCACCTTTAAACATAAAAAGGCATAAAAATACCCTTAATGTAACTTCACACTAACTGTTTTCAGGAAAAGTTACTCAGTATACCTTTAACTACAAGCTAAAAGACAGAAGGACCTGTATCACACCAGCTTTTGCTAACGCTTTGCTTGGAATGTCCCACAGTATGGCATTACAGATGTGGAGAGGTTCACAGTTTTGACGAATGAAAACTGGAATTGAATGAACCAAGATAGACGGGTTTAAAGCCATACTGAGGAACATTCTAAGCAAAAGCACCCACAGAGAAAAGCAGGAGACAGACATGTTACAAAGTGCACAAAATAAAGTGTCAAAATAAAACTAACCCAAAACCTGTTGTGCTGTCTTCATTTCTCTACGTTGACTATTAAAAAGTTCTGACTACAATATATATTTTTCTGATTATGCAATTAAATATTCTAAGGGTTTTAAAAGTTCTTTATAAAGTGTGTTTGGTCTTAATACAAAATTTTAGAAACTATGAACTAAATTAGCAAGTCGTGGCCACTGTTTATCAAAATTGTCATTGTCATTACTTCATACACTTAAACTAAATAAAAACGTAAGAATAACAAACACTATTAAATGTTTTTTTTCTTAACCAGAGGCATTCATTGTCATGGAATTTGTTTAAGGACCGTACAAACCAAATGCATTTCAAAATATGGTTTAGAAATGCATGAACTACTGGGTTAGCAGTTTTTTTTTTTAACATGATAAGCAAGTGTAGGTGGTTTGACAGCTCGAGCATCAGTGGGAAAAAACATAGCAATGCACTATGTCCTCTATAATTTGGCTACATGTTAAACTGACTTCTTATTTGACTAAAGTAAAAAAAAAAAGCTGTAAAATAGTTGTCAAAATGAACCCGGGCCGTAAGCGCACAGAGAGAAACACAGACTCACCCTCCAGTTTCGTATCCTCTTCAGTTTACTGGGCGTCCTCTCCAGGATCTGAAGGAATTCATGAGTGAGATCTGAAAAAACAAAACAGGAAAATCAGGGACTAAACCAGGACGGAACCAGATCTGAAATAGGGATTATGAAAGACCTAAACAAGGACTAAACCAGGTCTGAAACTGGAAATTCAGGGACTAAACCAGAACCAAACAAGGAAATAAACCAGGGATTAAAACAAAGACTAAACAGGGGCTAAAACAGGGACTGCATCAGGACCAAGCTGGTACTAAATTAGGGGTAAACCAGACCTAAACAGGGACTAGACCAGGGACAAACCAGCAATAAACCAGAGGGACTAAGCAGGGACTAAACCACAAGCAAAACAGTTCTAACAGACTCCAAAACAGGACTAAACCAGAGGTAAACAAGGACTAAACCATGGACAAAACAAGGACTAAAACAGACCTAAACAGGGACTTCAACAGGGACTAAACCAGGGACAAAACAAGGACTAAACCAGGGACAAAACTGACAAAACAAAACCTAATCAGGGACTAAACCAGACCTAATCAGGGACTAAACCAGACCTAATCAGGGACTAAACCAGACCTAATCAGGGACTAAACCAGACCTAATCAGGGACTAAACCAGAGGTAAACAAGGACTAAACCATGGACAAAACAAGGACTAAACCAGGGACAAAACAAGGACTAAACCAGGGACAAAACTGACAAAACAAAACCTAAACAGGGACTAAACCAGACCTAAACAGGGACTAAACCAGGGACAAAACAAGGACTAAACTATGGTCAAACCAGGTCTAAACCAGGACCAAACCAGACCTAAACAAGGACTAAACCAGGGACTATCATGGACAAAACAGCAAATTAGACTGTTGAAATAACACGCAGTGCTCCACAGCCCACTTGGATCAGTCCCATTTCGACGGCAGGACTGAAGACGGGACCAGAGTTCACAAAAACCTGACGACATTAGTGTTTGTGGTACGTCAATACAGCCTCATCAACGCAACTCAAAACGAACGAGATCAAACACGGACGTTATCATCATTTGGTACTGACCCAGACCACAGTAAGAACAGACAGGGACAAATCAAATATATGTACAGACCAGAGTATCATGAAAAAGTCCAAGTTATAATCACCAAAATGTCAAGAAATAAAGACCTGAAAGCTTCACTTAAATGGGTTTGACTTTCTGAAATATTAAGTGACAAAAAATACAGAACTTTTTCATGATATTCAAATTTTTTTAGACACTAAGCAAATTCAAACGCGTGGATTTGTAAAATAATTTAAAACACCAAATTTGGAAGTTACGACCAAGTTCATAGAATTCTGACAAGAGGTGGGACCAAGTCTTTTTCTTTTTTTGTAAGTCTCAAGTCCGAGTCAAGTCCCAAGACAGGCAAGTCTAAGTCGAGTCTCGAGTCACTGACCCATAAGTCCAAGTCAAATTCAAGTCGTCTGCTTTGAGCTTCAAGTCATTTCAAGTCTTTAAACCAAAAAAGTATCGAATATAGCTTAGATTTTTGCAATTTCTGTGACTTTAAAGATAAATTTTACTTAAATATAAATATACAATGATTTTTTTGAGTATTTATAGAGTATGCAAGTGTTGTAGAAATTAATTTAGTTCATTTTTCCTTTTTAAATTGACATGACATTGACAAAATCTTAGTGTGAATCATTACGGTCAAGAATAGAAAGAATTCAGATTAAAAGTGCTCCTCGACTCATCTCAAGTCACAGGCCTCAAGTCTGAGTCAAGTCCCAAGTCACCGACCTTCAAGATCAAGTCCCAAGTCTTAGTCCATTTTGTCAAGTCTTAGATCCTAAAAATAGTGACTCAAGTCTGGCTCAAGTCCAAATCACGACTTGCAAGTCCCCATTTCTGGTTCTGACAATTGATACTCTGCAGGGACATCGCGCTGGGACTGTTTTACGTGCGTGTTTATGGGCAGAATGTTCACCAGTTACTACAGAGACACAATGAACGCAAATAATATAGTGTGAGAACTCAAAAAGAAACACAAAATGGATTTAAACAGCACATTTTCAGGAAGAATCCATTCTTTCTGGTCAGATTACGTTAAAATAAAGCTCAGATTAAAGTCTAACCGAGCTGAAGACGGCGCAGTGCCTACAGTTAGCGTCACATCTCCAGGGAATGTTGATGACGTCAGCCGCAGAGCATCAATAACAAATTTTGAGACGATGTGAGACCTTTAACTTTTGAACCACAGAAGGAAAAGCCCCGAGGTGTAGCGCAATAAAACATTTGTATCTGTGAGTCACTGATAAGTTAATATTTGACCGTCTACAGTTCAAACATCGCTGTACTACCACTGTACCTCTGATAGGGGCACCTGTGTATTTTCTCCTGCTTTTTAAACCAGCTCTGTCATTGCCACACGTCCCACACACCAACCATAATAAGTGGTTTAAGTTTAAACAAAGAAACGCAATGAGGTAATGCCCAAGTTTAAGATTAAAAGGAACACTGTGTAAATTTCCCGGTGGAGGGAGTGCCAAGGACCGGGCGATGTTTGTCAGAACTGGTATAAGACCTTGTGTGGTGCGGTTAAATAAATGCCTTTTGTATGTAGAAATGTACATTCTGTCTTCCTCACCAGGACAACTTTTAGGTCAGGTCTGTTTTCGAGCCATTAAAACACGCGCCAGATTGACAAATGTTATCCCATAATTTAGAACATTCCAAAGCCATATCGCCACGGTTTAGATTTAGTTTGTTTATTTCAGAGTTTGCATGAATAGAAGAGACTCTGGTGGTTCCCCATAGTCTAAAAAGAACATGGACTTCACTTTGGTGTAAGAAAATGTCACTTTGATGCTCCTTGTGTCGTCATTAATAGAGGTGTAACGATATCCAAGTCTCACGATACGATATCATCACGGTATGATATTTATTCCGATATTTTGTGGAGCTAAAACTGTTAATATGAGACTTTTTCCTCTTAAAATGCCTTGACAAGACTTAATCTAAAGAACTACGACTTAAAAGTGTTTAGAACTGTTATTTCTTCCTGTAGTCTGCACTGAAATGGAGCAAAGGATCATGGTCTATGTAGTTCCCTCTAACTTTGCTGCACCATAACTCTTAATTTAATCAAAGAGACTTCGATTTATTGTGATGGTCCATGATATTATTGTGAGAACTTTGACGATACGATATCACGATATTTCAGTTATTGTTACATCTCTAGCCATTAACATAAAAAAGTAAATACACTGTTAAAAAAAGCAGCTTAAATATGAAAAACAGACAATAAGTCACATTATAACTCTACTTATTGTATGAAAGTACATTTTAAATAAATTATTAATATAGAAAAGTGCTAGTGACACCATAATCTGGACAAAAAATATTTGAAACACTGTATTTGAATGAGACAGCATTAAAAAGAGCCCACACAAACTGACCGTCCAGCTGACAGTGCACCTTCCGTTGGAAAAGCTACACAGTGCGGCATTAAAACTAGTAAAAACCCCGACACAAACTGGCTGTCTAGCAGGCAGGGGACGCTCCATTAGAAAAGTGACACAGCGCAGCATTAAAAAGAGAATTCACTCTGTAGCGTAAGAAAAGTTACGCAGTGCGGCTTTAAAAAGACTAAAGCCCCCACACAAAATGACGATCCAACTGACAGAGGCCTGGACCGTCCATTAAAATGTTACACAGTACAGCATTAAAGAGTTAAAAAAAAAACACACATACACACAAACTAACAGTCTAGTTTTAGAAAAGTTACACAGTACGGCATTAAAAAGAAAACCGACCGTCTAGTATTAGAAAGGATACACAATGCGATATTAAAAAAGTAAAAAAAAAACACTCAACCTGAGCGTCTAGTATCAGAAAAGCTAAAAACACACAAAAAACCTCAACCTGACCATCTAGTATCAGAAAAGCTACACAGTGCGGCATTAAAAAGAGAACTGACCGTCTAGCATTTGAAAAGCTACTCACTGTGGCATTAAAAAAAAGGTTAAAAAAAAAAAAAACCCACACAAACTGACCGTCTAGTTTTAGAGAAGTTACACAGTGTGGCTTAAAAAAAAAACTGCAAAAAACCCACACAAACTGACCGTCTAGTTTTAGAGAAGTTCCACAGTGCGGCATTAAAAAGAGAATTGACCATCTAGTATCAGAAAAGCTACACAATGCGATATTAAAAAAGTAAAAAACAAAACAAAAAACACTAGTCTAGTATGAGAAAAACTACTCCGTGTGGCATTAAAAAGTGAAAAAAAAAAACAAAAAAAAACACACTCACACTGACAAAGCTACATATTATGGCATTAAAAAGGTAAGAAAAAAAAAACAACGCCTGGCTAGCATTAGAAAAGCTACACACTGTGGCATTAAAAAAGTAATAAAAACACACACAAAAAAAACACTCAAACTGCACCATCTAGTATTAGAAAAGCTACATATTGTGGCATTAAAAAGAATAATAAAAAAAATAAACAAGCACACAAATGGACCGTCTAGCATTAGAAAAACTACTCTGTGTGGCATTAAAAAAAAAGGGAAAAAACAAACAAACAACACCACAGAAAACACCACATAAACTGACCGTCCAGCAGTTGCAGGTTGACGTTCCGGTCCACATATTCCCACCAGTGCTTCCCGTCGGTGGACACGGGGATCTCCCAGTTGGACCATTTACAGGCCAGGTGGATGCAGACGCAAGCGACGATGGTGGGACGGTACTGCAGGCAGAACGTGGTCAGGTGCAAACTGCAACGGCAACAAGAGGGGACAGAGGGGAACAGAGATTTAGACTCGTGTGTGTTTAACTTACAACTGTTTATTTAACATTTTTGTTACTTTGTGTTAGTTATTTATACTTTTTATAATGTTTTGTTATTACTTTGACTATTTTTATTCTTTATTTTAATGTATAATGTGTTAAATGTGCACCGTGTCACTTCTCTGGCGCAATGTCCACCACCTGCATCGTTTCCATGGAGATATTAACGCTTTGCCTGGAATGTTCCGCAATATGAATGACATTAAACTTATTCATCGCCATAGAAACGACTATCTAACACTACCAGGTCAAGTTTCAGGTCAGATCTGTGGAGAGGCAAGCTAAATTACAGTAAGAATGCAAGTTTTTCTAGTTTTTTTGCGCAATAAAAACACTTCAGCTACAAGACAAGTTTAATGCCTTACTGCGGAACATTCCAGCAAAGCAATAACGTCTCTACGGAGAAGCAGGTGGCGGACGAATCTCCAGAAAAGCTACACGGCGCGGCTTTAAATCATAATCTTAAGAGAGAAAGTTCACGACACAGCCACACACCCTTACCTCGCTCCTCTGGAAATTCTAAGTCTACGTTTGGTTAAAAATGCGTTCGAGGAGGTGGTTCTCAATGACTCCACGTTTTGGGGTTTTAAATACAGATTCCCAGATGCAAAAAATATTTATCTGAAAGAATATACGGCCTACTATACTCACTACATGCTGCTATGATTTTTTAAAACTGTACTCGGAGCTGAAAAGATTACATATGTTAACAAAATGTACACAAACCCGCCCCCAAACACAGATTTTTTTTAAAACAAAAAGACAAAGTATCTGTTTCAGGTCATGTGCATAAGAATGAGGAAACACTACAATAGGTTTTCAAAAGTTAAAACTGCGGTATTATTAACTTTTAACTCACAAACTACACTGCAAACACTCACATGAGCTGTTACACGAGGGGTCAGGCCTGTCACGATAAATACAATATCGAGTTTTCAATAAATAACGATGGGACAATTATTTTTGGGCGTCGATATTCACCGTGGGCGCCTTTTCCTTGCTCTAGTGGGACAAATTGGTCTGTTTTTCTAAGATCTCAAGAGACAAACTGCCACAAGATCTCGCAAACATGAGAAAAAGGATCTTGAGATTTTTTTTCCCAACATTTGGATTGGACAATAAAAAAAATGGTTATGTGTTGGTGAGTTACATCTTTTACAGTTCCAAAAAGCAACACCAGAATGCAAAGATGGGACCCAGTTGTCGTTTTCCAAGTCTCAAAGTAAGTCTCAAGACTTTGACCTCAAGTCCGAGTCAAGTCCCAAGTCAAATACAGGCAAGTCCAAGTCGAGTCTCGAATCACTGGCCCATAAGTCCAAGTCAAGTCCAAGTCGTCTGCTTTGAGCTTCAAGTCTTAAAACCAAAAAAGTACCAAATATAGCTAAGAGTTGTAGAAACTGAGTTAATTTTTTCCTTTTTTAACGTCTTGACAAGATCTTAGTGTGAATCAATACAGCCAGAATAGAAAGAATTCAGATTTAAAAGTGCTTCTCAAGTCACAGACCTCAAGTCCCGAGTCAAGGCCCAAATCACTGACCTTCAAGTCCAAGTCGAGTCCCAAAGTCGTAGTCCATTTTACCAAGTGAAGTCTCAACTCCTAAAAATAGTGACTCAAGTCCAGGTCACGGCTTGCAAGTTCCCACACCTTTGCTAGAAAGAAAACAAAAACATGAAATCAAATAAAAAATTGTGAAGCCAAACTTGGAAACTGAACTGTGAATTTTATATATTGGGAATTATGTTAAAATCTCATCATATCTTGTCTCGTCTTGTGAAAATTGTCTCTCATCCCATCCCTACTCTTCTACGATGAGATTTGAGCTGTGGAGTGGTGAATTTTGAGCTTCTATGACCTGTTTTAGCTCCATTCTGTTATCTATGTATTAATATTTAACAGCGTTGCACATGTAGAAATAGTTTTGTGGGTAATTCTGCTTTAGGGTTTGGTTTCGATATTTCTGTTTATCGTCTCTATATACAATTTACTTCAGTAAGTATGTGTATCGCGCTTCAAAATTTGTTATCGTGACAGGCCTATGTGGAGATACAAAATATAACCACTACTGCTGCTGCTATATTCAACTAGATCAGTTTCCTTTCAAATAACATTTACTCGTCATTGTGAATATGAGTTTAAAGGTGTATTGTGTAACTTTTCTGGTGGAGGGTCTGTCAAACGCTTGTCTTAAATTACAGGTGGTTTTATAGTTCAAAAATACCTTGAAAAACAGGCATTCTCCACAGATCTGACCTGTACCTTGGTCCGGTTTGGTCTCCGTGGAGATGTTTTTGCTTTGTCTGGAATGCTTTAAAACTTTCTATCTTTGTGGAGACCAAACCAGACCAAGTTTAGGTATTTTTGAGCCATAAAACCTGCAATTTTGTAAACATAAGGTAGAGCTGTTTAATGTCATACTGTGGAACATTCCAGACAGAGCAATGACATTTCACCCTTAACTAAAAGTTACACAGTGAAACTTTAAATGGAGACAATATAAAAGTAAAATATTAAAACTTTTGTATTAGTCTAGATAGTAAAAAAACAGCTAAAACTGCTCAAAAACACGAGAAATTATATTGTGAAAACTTTGACGTCATAATATTACACGTTCATGTTTTGTTTTGAACTGCGCGAAAAGATAATACAGTTTTTATTTTCGTATTTCTGCTTCAGGAATGCGCGGTTTACAGATTAAAATGTATTGGAAAGTAATCTGCTTAAACACTTAATCAAAGGAGTCACTGTTCTCATCGACGAAGCTCTGATTAATCCACAATACTGTTTTGAAGAGGCTCGAATCTTCTACAAAGACCAAAAGAAACCAACAAGACCCGTCACGATAATTTTAGTCTAACATATCACCACTAAAATATACAGTTTTAACTATAGTATTGAAACTACTGTAAAACCTAAACAGGATCTCAGTAATGACCAGTTTTTGAAGGTGTTACAAAGAGGAAGTACAAATGGTAAGTACTTAGTTTGCATCTCTAATGAGTCATAGTCACTCGTTTCAACTTTCATAATTGTACTTCAAAAACAGTTTCCCGCTAGTGCACAGAAAAGCCCCAAAAAATACAGTTCCATCTGCTGTGATAAGGTTGCAGCGAATGGTTATATTTGTAGTTGACTAGTTATCAAAACAACATTCTGATTATTTCCATTGCAGGTTTTTAAAAATACACATCAAACTATATTAAAAAAAAAGTTGTACTGGCTGTAGACTTCTAGAGAAAAACTACATATTAAAGAGAAAGATTTGATAAAAGTTATAAATGGTTCCTTTTTCCATTTAGTTTTGATAATGCAGTTATTTTATATTTTGGGAAAGTGTAAATTAGTCACAAATTATAGTTAATTCGTTAATTATATCAAAAAAATAATTGTCATGACCGGTCTAATCCTAACCCCCCCAAAAAATGAAATCAATTCTTCATGTTATGCTTATTTTAGTACTGGATTTTTGTGGTATTTTTTCTCAATTAGTCAAACAATTATCTCTTTTGTACTTTGTTTTCTAAAAAATACATTCTTAACCCCCAAAAAGTAAATCTATGATGACTTATTGAGAATTTGAGCGATTAAGAAGCAAATTGGTCATTATTGTTGGCTAATAGTGTGAAAATGCAACTTTTAGTATGTGTTTTTAAATCTATATCTATCTAATAATTAAAGGTGCACTGTGTAACTTTTCTGGTCGAGGGTCCACCAACTGTTTTTTTTCCATGGAGATGTCTTTGCTTTGCCTGGGATTTTCTACATCGCGGTATTAAACGTGTCCATACGCAAAGAAAAAAAGCAAACGACTCTACAAGGCTAATTACAAGTCAGATCTGCGGAGAGGCGACTACGCTGACAATAAGAAAGCGAGTTTTAAGGTATTTTTGAGCAATAAAACCACCTGTAATTGAATAAACGTAAGGTAGAGCTGTTTAATGTCATACTGTGGAACTTTCCAGAAGCAAGCAAGTGACAGACAAACCAAAAAGTTACACATTTAAGAGTATTTTTGAAAACTATTTGCCATTTACAGATACATTTTATGGCGTACTGAGAATCATTCCAGGCAAAGCAGTAACATCTCCATGGAGACAATTAAGCGTTGGACCCTCTATCCGAAAAGTTACATGGTACACCTTTAATAAATCGTTAATTATCGTGACAGGCCTAATCCCAACTAGTCAACAAAGTCAAGTTTTCTACACAAAACTTAAGTCCGTACACAATGTTTGCAGTACAGTTTGTGAGCGTTTTTGAGGGTTCGGGGGGAAAAAAAGCAAAAAAAGGAAAAAGTACAAGTCACCGTAGGCTATACTTACCGTTAGCGCTAAAAGTTTAAGAATCTTTAGTGGCAATCTATATTCAGGCTACCAGTGTGTTTTCTTAGACATATGCACTCTGTACCAAACAACCTGGAGAGGTATAGCACAACTACACTGGACATGTGCCTCCGCCCCTCTGCGCCAACACGGAGCCCCCGTACAGTACACCGCACAGCAGCCCGGCCAGTACCGCCCACACCGGGGTTTCCAAGGCCCGGGCGCAAGGGCGTTGGTCACAGGAGGGGGGAAGCTATAGTGTGCCAATACAGTGCAATAGAGAACAGGATAATAACCTGTTGGTAGCCATGAAATAGGAAGTCTGAGCCAAATCCTTGCTTGCTGGAAAAGGAAAGAAAAACGAAGAAAATAGTCAAGGTTAGTGCGAAAAAAGGTAGCGTCGTGTGTTAGGATTTTGGAGTCGAGGAGGAGGAACTCACCTCGAACTAGCTGGGTACACCTCACCACATCTGTGTGAGGATGATCTACAGTAATTTCAAAACCTGGAATAAAGATTTAGTCAGATTCAAAACTCAAAACACACATAAACACAATTATACGACCTATTAAAACCTGCTGTTTTACATTTGAGATAGGAGTGGGGGCCAATAAGTCTTCTTGCTTCCTGTTCCTTCCTAAATCTGTCTCGTTTCCTGATATTTTGCCCATTAATGACCTTAGTTATATTATAGTTATTTTTCTGTTTATGTTTAAAAATATGAATGTGGAAATGTACAACATACATGAGCTTGAAAACAACACTTCTATCCTTAAACATAGCATTTAAAAACGATTATATACAGAGATTGTGAACACATCAAACTGTCATTCAGAGAGTCCAATGTTACACCCAATGTAGACTTAAGAATGTGAACTACAGGGTGTAATTCAAACCAAAGTATGTTCATATTATAGTGGGATTAATGAATTTACCAGGAGTGCCCCAGCAACTTTGTGTTGGTCAATGCTCTTCACAAATACACACAATAATTGATGTGATGATATAGAACTCACCCAGTGTCTGTAGCACTATGGTTTCCAGTGCCACCAATTCTTGTGCCTGTTGTTGGAATGCCTAAAATAAAAACATCTTATTAGAAAAGGTTTTTTGCTTCATCAGTTTCAATGTAATAATGTTGTAACATTCTGAGAAGTCTTTGCTTTACATAATCACTGTACAGTTTCTGCATTTTAGTATAATATTATTATATATTTATGTGTATTTGTATATTGATGTATTTATTTGGGGCAAGTAGAGATTTACATTCTTATACAATGGAACATACTGTATAACATAAGTGAAATTGTAATAGAAATGAAAATAACCACAACAAAAAATCTGCCCAATAAGGAGCAGGAAGAAGAAAACTCCAAACAAAACTTCCTTGTAGTGTTTCTTTTCTTGCCTCAACTCTTTCCCCCGTGAAGACGACATTTGACAACCTTCCCTTGTTTCCTTAATGATGTCTTTTGACTCCTCGCTGTATCACTAAAGACGTGATTTGACGACCATTACAAACGGCTCGGTTTTTCACATGTAATCAGAGGCTGTGACAGGTGGAGGCCACTACAACAATACATTCTAATATATGTACGGGATGTTCCAAGTAGGCGTCCAAGGGGGAAAGAGTTCATTTGAAAATCCATACTTAATTCAGAGAAGGGTTGCACAATGAAGAAAAAAAAAGTTAAATATTGTAATTTTTCTGAGCAGTATTGCCATTATGATTAGATTTGAGATTTTTTGTTTAAAAAAATAGGATTCTGTTCAGAGTTTCTATCGTAAATGACAAATTGTAGTAACTTGACAGGCTCCTGCAGCTTCGCTTCAACAGTAAGAGACACAGGTCTACATTCATACCATACTCCTTACAACTGCACAACTCCTCACCCTGATGTAACAGATAACCCCATGTCCTGTCAATCATCATGTTTTTGCACTGTTTTTCCTTACAACTTTCTGTATATAGCTAGATATATTTGTTTTACTTGATTTCCATTTAGTTGTACACATACATTTATATAATTATGCCTTATTTGACACTAGTCTCTTGCTACTTATCTTAAATTTATTATTACAGTTTGTATTGTTGTTCTTTGTTATTATATTTACTGTGATGTGTGAGCTACTGTGTCCAAATAATTTCCTTTGTGGATCAGTAAAGTTTGTCTAAGTCTAACTACAGGAGCATTAAAATCTCAGAGAAGACTTATAACTAATTTAAAAACAATCAAATGTATTTCAGAGCATGTTTGTAGAAGTCTAAACTACAGGTATGAGGTGTTTCTATATAAAGACGGGATGTTTTGTTCCTTACAGACGAGAGATTATATCAAAAAAACAACTACACCCTTTGCGATTTGAAGTAACTGCACCAACTCTAAACCCAATTTCACTTTCATTGTGACATATAGCGCAGACCCTGAGCAATTCAACCCTCGGTGTCAGATTATTAACGGGTTTAGCTGCTCCGTCTACAGTCAAAACAAGCCAAATTCCCACAGTCGCCATGTTGCCTTTAGTGTAAGTCGATACCACACAACCATAGTCTTACTTACATTGCTCTTTACGTCTATGGGAGGCTCTTGGGGGTAAATGTAGGCATGTGCTATTTTAATAACATGTTCCAGCTTCCGGGGCTGTTCTTCTACTTTTGCTGCAAGGAATAACGTAGTTTGGGAAATGATCTGGAAAAAGAGAAGACAAAAAAATGCTTAGATTTGTAACTTTACAGCTCACAATGTCAACGCCGAGCTTCATTTATACTCACGTTTCTATGGAATTTGGTGAAAGAATGGATCATATAAAACCTATGCATATATACTATAGCAGTGTTGATGATTAGTTGGGAGCTGGGGGTAGAAAAGTTAAGGATTTTAACAGGGAAAAGGGGCAAAAGGCAGCGTCTAAAAACCACGTCTCGGTCAATTTAATGCGACGTAGACGGCTAAACGTCTGCCATATTGACGAAAATAAAACCTTGACAAATGCAGCAGATTAACAACAAAATAAAGGCTTAAAGATACAACTTGAGACACAATTTAAACGCTTAAGAACTGACGCTTTTGCACGTTATGAAACCTGTTTTATCTCAAGCGCCGCTAACAAAGAATATGCGTATGAACAAAAGCTAAGTTAGCGACTAGGCCTTAAAACGTCGCCTGAAATAAAACGTCAAAATAAAGCACACAAATTGACTTTTTTATTTTTTTTCTTGTGGTGTTAATAGTGTGGAAGCGTCTAAATTGTGAAAAAGGTTTGTGTGTGGGGATCGGGTGGGTAAATTTGACGCTACACCGGCTGTTTTGCGAGCTAACAATGCTAACGGCGGTGCTAACGGCGGAGAACCGTCTTGTTTTCTCGCTCAAGGATACACGTTGAGTCTCTGGCCGATGTCCTGGATGAGGTTGGCGGCCTGCTGGCGGTACGAGAGCTCCCGGTCCGCCTCGATCCCACAGCGGCGGGACGGCGTGTTGTCGAGCTGCTCCCGGGTGAAGAGCCATTTCGTGGAGGGTCCCCGGTGCGCCGCCATTACGCTCCCACACAGCCTGAGCAGCGGCCAAGCCCGACGGCACCACGGCTCCTGCACCGGGAGGGAGAGCGGGGGGGAGCGGGCACACGCGCCGGAAACAGGGGAGCAGCGGCGGGGACGGGCGGCGAGGCTTGCCCCCTGCTGGATGGAGAACGGGAACTGAGCAGATTTTTATTTTTATTTATTTATTTTATTGCAGACTTCTTCAAACAAATTAACTTTTGTCCGGGCGACAAACTGAATTTTCTCCTTGCTATGGCTTCTACCTGAACGACTGAGGGATTCTTCACACATTTACAATATTTTAATTTTTTCTGTTTTTAATTTTGAGTTTGTTTTTGAATGTATGTTGTCTTTCTTATGCCATGTTTAGTTTTGTGTGTGTTTTTGTGTAAGTCATTTCCATTTGAATGAATTATTTGAATTATTACATTAAAATTACATACTACTATTGATCAGTTTCTATTTTTCTTCTTTTCTTAATGCTCCTGTAGTTAGACTTAGACAAACTTTATTGATCCACAAAGAAAATTATTTGGACACAGTAGCTCACACATCACAATATAATATAACAACATGAAACAACGGAAACAGGGGAGCAGTGGCGGGGACGGCCGGCGAGGCTTGCTCCCTGCTGGATGGAGAGAGGGAACTGAGCAGATTTTTATTTTTATTTATTTTATTTTTTTAAATTGCAGACATATAACAACAAGACAAAAAAACAAAACAATGTATAGTACAGTATAAGGTGCAGATTGGATTGTTGTTGCATCAATCCAAAGTCCAGTTCACAGTTATGGCAGGGGTGAGATATGGAAAATATACATATACATTCATACACATAAACACACATAAACATACATAAACACACATTAACATACATAAACACACATAAACACACATAAACACACATAAACATACATAAACATACTGCAACATGGGGGTGATTTGCAAATTAACATACAGGGGAGCAGAAGGAATGAAACCAAAACTAAACAACAGCATAACAAAACAAAACAGAATATCATAAATTAAATAAAGCTATACTATATATATTTTTTTATAGATATTGTAAGTTGGATTTCGTTATTATATTGATGAATATTTGGTTTATTTTGAGCCAACTGAGCAGAATTATTATTATTTTTATACAGTATATGACAAGTATTTGATTAAGAACTAATAAAAATAAATAATTGATAGATTTTTATTTACATTTTTCATTTACGTTATTTACGGGCCACTCATTTGAGGACAGTGAGGTACACATTTTTGCCAGAGAAAAGAATTGGTTTGAGAGGCGTGTGAAATATATTTTCCAATATTTTTATTAATTTTCAGACAATAAAAATGTTCACATGAACAACTGACCACGTTATTAACACAGGTCAACATATAACCGAAAAAATAAAACAAATAATAATAATAATAATAATAATTACAAACAAATTCACACACTCATACACATTCACATATTCACATATTCACTAAACAGTATTTGCACAATACAATTTATCATTCGCAGGTAAGTCCGTGATTTATATTCAGTGACGATACGTACTTAAAAAAATAAATAAGTAAATAAATTAATTAATTAATTAAATAAAAAATAAAATTAATTAATAAAATAAAATTGGTAGAGAAACATAAATAAATAAATGAATAGATAGATAAGAATAAAATATAAATTAATTAATTAAAAATAAAGTAAAATAGGTAAATAAAAATAATAATAACAACAACAACGACAGAAGCCATTTTTGTTAAGAAAGAAAATCCTTCTCTAAACTAATTTAACTAACTCTAATCTCCTATTGACAGCTCCACCCTCAAACCTAATTCAAAACAAACAAGAGAACAATAGGTGTAGGGTCAGGTCACATTCAGAGTTGTGAAAGCTCCATTATGGCCATGAGTTGTTGTGCTAATTAGACCCCACACCCATTACAGGTCAATAGGCCAAACTAACAAACAGAAACTGTAAAGAAGTAGGTGTGTTAATTACAGAGTAGTTAGTCAGCTCCTCCCTGCAGACAGATATAAAGAAGTGTCCACCAGTGACTGACCAGAACTGAAGAAGCAGCTTGGTTGAGCTGCAACCAAACCAAACTATCTATCTAGCTTCAACCAAACTAACTTTTGTCCAGTCGACAAACTGAATTTTCTCCTCGCTGTGGATTCTACCTGAACGACTGAGAGATTCTTCACACGTTTACTTTATTTAAATTTTTTCATTTTTTTAATTATGAGTTTGTTTTTGAATTGATGTTGTCTTTCTTATGCCATGTTTAGTTTTTTGTGTGTTTTTGTGTTAGTCATTTCCATTTTAATGACTTATTTGAATTATTACAATAAAATTACCTACTACTATTGATCAGTTTCTATTTTTTTTATTTGAAGTTTAAAATGGAGGTACTTTTTTTTTTAAATTTATAGAATGGACACAATGGGCACAAAAGATGTAGTTATTTTCAAAAAAAAAAAAAAAAAAGATTTAATCCCACCCCCTCTTCTAATTTAACATAATAAGCTTTCTTTACATTGTTCACACATTTTACATTAGACTATATTAATATGTGAGGACAATGAGTCACTGTTGTATATAGTTGGGCTCTATATTATTCAGCCTATTTCTACAGTGTACAGTTTATTTGACTGTTTTTACTGTTTGTATTTCAAACAAATAAAATAACAATAATACTAAAAATGCATTTTTAATACATTTAGGCCCATGTTTATCTGTCGGCCTCTCTAAAATATTTTACATATTTCTACATTGTGCAGTTAATTTAATAACTTTTTGTATTATGATATTTTTCTTCCAATAATATACTGCCAACAGTATTTTTAAATCACTTGTATTTGATTGGAAACAAAAACAATACACTTTAATGCATGGACTGGGACGGACTATATAGATTTAGATCCCTAGATTATTTATCTTATTTTTTACCTTGTGTGGTTCATTTAAGCACGGCTTGTAGATTAAGATAACACATGGGAACTAAACTAAACTAAAGGATGGAAGAAAACTAAAATGTGTGAGTAACTGGTAACTGAAATAAATAAAAAAAATAAAAAATAAATAATATTGTAGATTGTAGTAGACTATACAATTTAATTTTTTATTTCCTTCAAAAATATACCATGGATTAAATTAGAGAGCCAGCATTTTATTATTATTTTTTTGTAGTATTCCAAAAATAGTGTATTATCAATTGTTTATGGCACAGTTCTCAATATCCGCCACTAGATGGAGCCAGAGACCGACAAGAGAAGTTCCGTTTGATTTTTATCGATGCCTCAGTAATAATGCAAGATAAACACAGACGGTTATGTGTCTCGGATGGATCGTGGGCAAATATAAGCTCCGAGAAGTCCTTTGTTGACGTAGAAAGCATCACGCAGACCTATTTTAAGCTCCATTTAGCGCGAAGATGACAAGATACGCTATTTTAACAACACAAACGACATTCCCAATCAAAAGTGGGTTATTAATTCACTCAGAAGACTTAAGCTGCGTGTTTTTTCATGGTATAAATGTTGTATTTTTGCAGAATCCCTACAGACCAGGCTTCAGACGGTGAACATAACAGGGTTTCTTTCTTCGCGCGCTGATCCTTATCTAAAATGGAACCCCCTTTATTTTCAGCGGGCACCCCCCCAGTCTGTCTCCTGCGCATTTTTACGCAGTGGAGACTACACCGACGCGGGTTTGGGTGTGTCCGAAGGGAGGAAAAGTAGTGCTTAAAATTTAGGAACAACGGTGACAGAGATTAGTACGTGAGCCGCATCCGTCTGGTGTTTGATCATTTGCGTGCTCGTACGTGACTCAGGTGACGGGACTTGGGGCGGCTGGGGCGGGCGGGGTGTCTCTTGGGACCCTCGCGTGCGCCGTGGGGACAGGATGCGCATGCGTGTGGCGGGGCGCAGGTCTCGTGAGCCCCGTCAGCAGTGTCATAATTAGAGTCCAGGTGCTGTAGTCTCACCGCGATGTGAACTGAGAGCTTTTTTTCCCCCCTTCTTCTTCTTGTTGGTTTGGTTTTTCTGCCTTCGCTCCACCGTGCGCAAAGTGTGCGTCAATTTAGCGCACGTAACCCACGCGACTTCCGGTTTCTCAAAATAAAAGTACTATCTCTCTAATCTTATCTTTTAGTATCATAGTCCAATATTGACCTTTTTTGAGGACATACCTTAATTTAAATGCTAAATTATCATCTTTAGGCCTAGGGGTATCGATATATCGTATCGTTTAATGTGATGATACAGTATCGATATCGTGGGCTGCTGTATCGATACATCACCAAGAGTATTTTTTGGTATATTTTGCTAAATTATTTTATTACAGCGCTACAGTTTTGTTGCTTGTTTAGAGGAAGGAAACTCGTTTATGCGACACATTTGACATTTTCACTGTTTTGATGATTAAAATGGGCGTTTTTTTATATTAACATTGCACAGGAAACAGTTTAACAAAGACTTTTAGGATCACAGTCATGATTTAGCCTTTATTTTTTATTGAACCGTATCAAATCGTATCGGCAACTTCTTAATGATACCCAGCCCTATTTAGGCCAGACTTTAATCTATTATTTTGTGATTTTTTCCTATTAAAAACTGGATTTCACTTTAGGCACAGAGACTTACAATCTCTACTCTGCTATTTTTATTACATAGACACGTATTTTATTTATTTTTGTGCAATGTAGGCATATGCTAAAGATCAGGAGTGAACATAGAAACACATTTGTAGAGGAGAAACGTGGACTGGTTCTCACTCTATACAGCAAGACTTTGAGATTTAGATGAGCTTCAAGTCTTGTAACACTAATTCCAGGCTCAATTTGCAACCTTTTGTATATACCTGAGATTTATTTTTATTACCTTATTTCTGTTTTTACTTTAGACCTACATATATCTTTATAATTATTCCTTATTTGACACCAGTCTCTTGTTATTTTTGCGACTTATTTTGAATTTAGATGAACATTTACGCTTGTTCTCTTTGTTATTAATCATATATTGTGATGTGTGAGCTACTGTGTCCAAATAATTTCCCTTGTGGATCAATAAAGTTTAAGACTATATCAAATTTAGGTCTGAATCACAACGTAATAAGATGTTGCCTGTGATCATTTGGCAGAACTGAGAGCTAAGAAAATGTGGTTTGAGGGCCACATTTGGCTCCTAGACCATAATTTGGACACCCCTGATAAAGAGGGATTGGCAATGTCAACATGTTAGAGCCGTTCAGCTGATGGATGATAACTGGATTCTACAAGGGCTTAAAAGTGATCGTACAGAAAAAATGTTGTAATGAAACAGTATTTGAAGAGTTGCAGTTTTTGGTTTCTTTTTGTTACCATTTCTCTAATATTAGCAATAACAATAAAGTAGGATATAATGGATTTTATCAAGAAGAGATGGATTAATATTTTGATCCCAGTAAAATCAATTTGGGTTTTGAAAATACCTACTATATTAAGAGTCTCCAGTGACTCAAATGGCACTTTTATGTTGTTTTATGTCTCAAAAACGAATAGATTTTTTAGAAATTTAATTTTTAGTGTTTACTAAAGCACAATAATTGATTACTGACAGGATAACATTTCATTTGAGGGATAACTGTTTTTCTACAAAAGCTTAAAAGTGATTACAAAGATCGTCTTCTGATCTGAAGGTCAGTGGGTCAAATCCTGTTCTTGACATAAACATTATTGGTAAAACGGTCTGATCCACTGATCCACAGGTCGACAGTGTGATTCCAGCTCCCACAGATGCTGGTGTTGTGTCCTTTGGCAAGACACTTAACCCCTCTTGCCGAATGAGTGTATGAATGTGTGAGTGTTTCCTTGGAAAAGTGCCAAATCAAATTTGCCTATTTAACATTAACCATGTTGTAATAAAACAATATTTGACGTGTTCAAAAGCGGAATAGGAATCTTTGTTTTTCTTACCATTTTCTAGGTCAGGGGAGACAAACTCAGATTCACAGAGGGTCAAAATTAAAAACTGGAACTAAGTCGTGGGCCAAACTAAATATTTCTTTAAAATTTTAACAACATCTGAATGTTTTCTCTTCTTTCGATATGTAATGTTAAACCTTTTCTTATTAAAATACATGTTTAATAATAATTTTGCTTAAACACTGAATCCAGAACAAGCAGAATATAAAACAATAACAACATTTTAAATAAATAATGTCTCTATAGTCTGTCTGTAGTCGGCGGGCAGCGCTAATAAATATTTGATATGATCTCGAGGGTCAAATATAACTATACTGTGGTCCAAATTTGACCCCTGTCTGTCTAGAGATATTATCAATGACAATAATGTATAGTGGATTTTATCAAGAAGGGATGGAATAATATTTTGATGGCAGTAAAACAGATTTGGCTTTTGAAAATATCACTATACCAAGATTAAACTACAAGCCTTTGCACTTTATACTTTTTTGCACATTAAGTTTTCATTTCTAACTATCTCTACTGTAAGATTAAGATTGAAAAAAAGTTTGTACAGGGCTTTTATTGTGAAGCCTGTGTGCACTTCCTCTCCTCTCGTCTCTCTTTGTGTGTCTTGACCGTGTTTGAGCGCAGCATCTCCGGACTCTTCCTCTCTCTCTCCTCGGGGCGCACTGCTGCCGTCAACGCTTCGCACCTCGCATCCAGGTGTGACATTTTCCGAGTTCTCCTGCTCCTGAAAAAAGAAAAAAAACTTAGAAAGAAAAAAAAAAATAGAAGCACCATGACGGACTCGGGACTTCCTCCGGACCCCACTGCCACAACTACCATCCCCATCCCGGCAGGAGGAGGAGCGGTGCAGACGGCGACGGTCAACGGCCAGTGCGAACCAGCGGCGGATTCACTCACCCAGACGCCCCAGCAACAGCAGCCCGCCCAAGAACACCCTCCTCCGGGCACAGAAACTCAGCAAGAGGGCTTCAACATGGACCAGGAGATGAAAATCACAGACAGTATTGAAGACAGCGGTGAGTTTTTTGGGCGTTTTGTTCAAGAAACGTCCAAAGTTTTGCGCGTAAAAATTGGTTCTATATCCAGATGGTTACTGGTGATGGTTGCTGGAACGAGAGGATCCCATTGGTTCTCTAAAATGTGCTACAGTCAGGCAGTATAGAGATGGCGCTAAACTTATAAATAAATTATAAGACTGGCTTTTTTTGGACGGAGGAAATCAGGGCGAGAAAACGGGCATTGGACGTGACGGCTCCAAGTTGGAACAATGAACTTGGAGAGAGCCTATATGGAAATCTTTAGTAGCCTGCACTTAATCTCCCCCAAAAATGACACGATAAAGAAAGATATACAGGCAGTCATGACAGTTTTTAGCCAGGAATGGGAAGATTACTTTGAAAATGTGTTTAGTTACAGAATAATGACATGTATTCTTGGTACTTGTATTCAGTTGCCCAAAATGGAAAGCTTCACGAGATTAGACGTAATAAAAACATGAAAAAATGACATGATTAAAGATATTTGTTTAAGATTTGACAGTTTTCAGTTTTATTTTCTAATCTGGCAACCCAAATACATATCACATTATATGTACCTAGACATTTATAGCCTAATATACAGTATTTATAGCAGTGATACTGAATAAACAAAATTAAAAAGTATTTTCAGCACATGTACTCAGTTACTTCCAAACACTGCCTGTATTGTTCTATATGGAAACCTTTAGTAGTCTACACTTAATCTCCCCAAAAATGGCATGATAAAGAAAGGTATACAGGTTGTTTTTTTTTTATTTGTTATAGCCTGGGATTGGAATAATACTTTGAAAATATGTTTGGTTACAGAATACTGAATACATAAATTAACACACATATTCTTGGTACGTGTATTCAGTCCTATTTTGAAAGCACGTAACAAAAAACATAAAAAAATGACATAATAAAAAGATATTTGATTATAATATAACAGTTTTCAGTTTTGTTTTCAAATCTGGCAATACAAATACATGTCAGATTATATGTACTTTGAGACTGACAGCCTAAAACAGCCAGGGATGGGAAGAATACTTTGAAAATGTGTTTGGTTACAGAATACTGAATACCCAAATTAACATGTATTCTTGGTACATGTTCAGTTGTCCTATTTGGAAAGCTTCAGGACACTACACTTAACAAAAACATTAAAAAATGACATGATAAAAAGATATATGATATATGTTTTCTAATCTGGCAACCCCAAATACATGTCAAATGATATGTACCTAGACATTTATTGCTATATATCACAGTGATAATGAATAAACTTAAAAAATATTCTAAGTACATGTATTCAGTTACTTCCGAACACTAAGTATATTGTCCTAAATGGAAATCTTTAGTAGTAATCCTTAAAAAATTACATAGTATAGAAAGGTATATAGGCAATTATGACAGTTTTTAATTTTGTTATAGCCAGGGATGGGAAGAATACTTTGAAAATGTGTTACTGAGTACCCAAATTAACATGTATTCTTGGTACGTGTAGTCAGCTGTCATATTTGGAAAGCTTCAGGAGCCAACACTTAATAAAAAACATAAAAAAATGACATGATAAAAAGATAAATTATTATAATATGACAGTTTTCAGTTTTGTTTTCCAATCTGGCAACCCCAAATACATGTCAAATCATATGTACCCAGATATTTGTAGTCTAATATCTATTTGAAAATGTATTTAGTTACAAAATACTGAATACCCAAAGTAAAATGTATTCTCGGTACATGTTGTAGTTACTTCCCAACACTATATTGTCCTATATGGAAAGCTTTAGTAGCCTACACTTAATAAAAACATAAAAAAATGACATGATAAAAAGATATTTAATTATAATTTGACAGTTTTTAGTTTTGTTTTCTAATCTGGCAACCCCAAATACATGTCAGATTATATGTACTTAGACATTGATAGTCTAATATAGCCAGGGATGGGAAGATTAGTTTGAAACTGTGTTACTGAGTACTCAAATTAACATGTATTCTTGGTACGTGTATTCAGTTGTCCTATATGGAACGCTTCAGGAGACTACACGTAATAAAAACATAAAAAAATGACATGATAAACAGATATATGATTATAATATGACAGTTTTCAGTTGTGTTGTCAAATCTGGCAACCCCAAATCCATGTCAGATTATATGTACTTAGACATTTATAACCTAATACTGTATATAATTTCGACAATGATGGGAAGAATACTTTGCAAATGTGTTTAGTTACAGAATACTGAATACTAAAATACAAAAATCAATTCTTTTACATTGTGTTGCATCATATCATAGTGTAAAAGAGCTGCGCTTTCTATAATGCAATTCAAAGGCAAAATGACATAATGAATACCCAAAAGAAAATGTGGTAGTTACTTCCCAACACTGTCTATATTGTCCTATATGCTTTAGTAATTTAATAAACTTAACTTAATAAAAACATTAAAACATGACATGATAAAAAAGATATATGATTACGTTATGACAGTTTTCAGTTTTGGTTTCAAATCTGGCAACCCTAAATACTTTGAAAATGTATTTAGTTAGAGAATACTGAATACTTAAATACAAATACCAATACTTTTACATTGAGTTGCATTATATCATAGTAGAGATGTAACGATATCCAAGTCTCTCGATACGATATTTTCACGATACGCTTCTCACGGTATGATGTTTATTGTGATATTTTGTGGAGACTAACAAAATTGTGAATGAAACAGACGAGCTGAAATAGAGCAAAGGATCATGGTCTATGTAGTTCTTTCTGTTTTTTTTAATCTATTGCTGCATTATAACAGTGAATTTAAGCAAAGAAGCTTGTAATTCGATATCCTGCAATGGCCCTCGATATTATTGTGAGACTTTTGACGATTCAATATCACGATATTTTAGTTATTGTTACATCCCTATATTATAGTGTAAAAAATAAGTCATATAATCACATACAACTTTATTTCTTTTCTTTATTTATGTCTATTTACAACATAAGAGCGGCGTTTTCTATATTTTTCTCACTAATACTGTGCAGTTTAACTAAGAACCTGCATTTGAAAGATATTAATAATTTTTGGAATATGACAAAGGCTGTTAATAAAGAATTTTCTAAAATGTGAGTGAGTGTAGGCCAGGGCAAATTGGCATAAATATTCTGTTAAAATTCATAGCGGTTTCATAAATTCAGAATGCAATTTTATTATTAATCTCTGCTCTTCCCTAAGTTTTAAACAGTTTTATGACAGTATATTTGAATAAAGTTCCTTAATGGTCCAACATCAGTGTTTCAAAGACTGGGCCGTGACCTTCAGGTGGTTCTCAAGAGATTTTATTGGGTCGCCTTGTCACGATCTGCATGTCGGTCTGAAATATATAGTTCTGACACATGTTGAAATGTTAAGACACGTTTTGCATAATTTCTAATCTTTTTGTAATTATTTTATTGACTATTTTGTTCCAATATTGCTGGTTCAAGTGAATGTTGAAAAGAAAAAGAAATGTCCAAATAGGCGACTTATGGATCATTTTATTGTTGGTCCAATTACAGTTTTTCACTGTTTAACAACTAGTTTTACTCAATTGTTAGAGAGGCACAATAAAATATCCTCATAAATGTTCAATAATGGTCAAATCCACCTTTATTTTGTGATTTTGTGAATAATGTCTGTTGACTTCGGTCGTAAAGGTTTGTGACTTTTAAAATATGGGTCCACAGGGGAAAAAAATGGAGAAAC